TACAGGGTGGTGTCGTCTGCATAAAGAAGGCATTGGGAACGCAATGGCAGAGTGGGGACAAGTCGAGTGTAGATGCTGAAGAGGGTAGGGCCTAGGACGGAACCCTGGGGAACGCCCCTAGTGCAGGTTCTACAGTCACTTGAGGTTCCGTTCACTTCTACGCGTTGCTGTCGGTGAGACAGATACGACTTGAACCACTCAAGAGTCATAAGTATCCGAACGTTTTCGGTCCCTTCTTATCAAGGATTATACAGGGAATGGCTCAAGCTGAAAAGACTAAAACTTATATAGCGTAAAGATAATTAGATAACAACACTCGTGACAGGGTGGAAAATTATCAAGTTTAGCACGACACAAAACTCGAAGGAAAATAATAATAGTGACAACAACATGGTGAGCAAATTAAGTTACATTGTTACCACCTCGACGAGGAGTAACACCAAACAATTGTAGCGACAACACATTTTCTTTCTGTACGCAAAGTTCAGGATCTAACTTACGGATATACAAAGCTTCTAACACAGCCAAATGTAACGCACATCTACCACGTGACAATATTGAGAAAACATTATCACTGTACAACTCACGACAATTGGTACGGGCTGACAGATGTTGCTTGATTGACGAAGTGCGATTCTTAGCTCCATTGGGTGTTGTCTCCTCCAATGTCCCGTCATCTCGCCTCTTCGTGGCATCACCACTATCTGTCTCTTCGCGTTTCCGCGGCCTTCCACGTTTCTTGACACTAACCGTTGGGTGCGCGATACCCGGTGTCCTTTCCGTTACGTCTCCTCCATTGCGGATTTCTATTGAGCTTCTTACTCCAACTTGTCCGGTGTCCGATATTGAGGTTAGTTTTCGCGGTCTACCACGTTTTCGAATATTGACTGTTGTTGTCACTTCCGTTGTCGTTGTACGTTCGTCCTCATCAGTCCGTATTTTCACTTGGCTTCTCGTCACCCTTTCCGACGCCGACAGATCCTTTGTCAGTTTCGGTGGTTTACGTGTGGGTCTTTCACCATCTTATATGCTGTTCTCAGCTGGCCCGTGTCCTACACACGCAGAGGAGGACGGGCATGCAGTCACATCTTCACGGGAAGAGGAAGATCCACCGATGGACTGGACAGCGCATTTTGGAGGACGACCACGGCGAGGACGACAATCGCGCGCATCAAGCGGAACACAACTTAACAGCACATGTTGACGAATGCGTGCGCCCAGGTACGAACAACGGCTATCCAAAGGAATTTCTGGCCAAGCTAATCAACGAAAAACCGGTGAGAGACAAGCTTATCCAATTTGGACCTGACCGTTGCCCAGTGGTGCTCCGTTTACCCTGGGTTGGCACCGGTTCTGCGCGCGTGGAGAAGGATGTTCGTGGTATCGTATGTCCATCATATCCGTGCGTCAAGCTGTACGTCATATTTGGGACAGTGCGTGCGTTCGGTGTGAAGAAGGATGTTCTACCTACCCTTAGTAAAAGTAACCTTATCTATTTCTTTCAATGCCGACAATGTGAAGATCGGTATGTAGGTAGAACCCTTCAGCACCTGGGCGCACGCATTCGTCAACATGTGCCGTTAAGTTGTGTTCCGCTTGATGCGCGCGATTGTCGTCCTCGCCGTGGTCGTCCTCCAAAATGTGCTGTCCAGTCCATCGGTGGATCTTCCTCTTCCCGTGAAGATGTGACTGCATGCCCGTCCTCCTCTGCGTGTGTAGGACACGGGCCAGCTGAGAACAGCATAAAAGATGGTGAAAGACCCACACGTAAACCACCGAAACTGACAAAGGATCTGTCAGCGTCGGAAAGGGTGACGAGAAGCCAAGTGAAAATACGGACTGATGAGGACGAACGTACAACGACAACGGAAGTGACAACAACAGTCAATATTCGAAAACGTGGTAGACCGCGAAAACTAACCTCAATATCGGACACCGGACAAGTTGGAGTAAGAAGCTCAATAGAAATCCGCAATGGAGGAGACGTAACGGAAAGGACACCGGGTATCGCGCACCCAACGGTTAGTGTCAAGAAACGTGGAAGGCCTCGGAAACGCGAAGAGACAGATAGTGGTGATGCCACGAAGAGGCGAGATGACGGGACATTGGAGGAGACAACACCCAATGGAGCTAAGAATCGCACTTCGTCAATCAAGCAACATCTGTCAGCCCGTACCAATTGTCGTGAGTTGTACAGTGATAATGTTTTCTCAATATTGTCACGTGGTAGATGTGCGTTACATTTGGCTGTGTTAGAAGCTTTGTATATCCGTAAGTTAGATCCTGAACTTTGCGTACAGAAAGAAAATGTGTTGTCGCTACAATTGTTTGGTGTTACTCCTCGTCGAGGTGGTAACAATGTAACTTAATTTGCTCACCATGTTGTTGTCACTATTATTATTTTCCTTCGAGTTTTGTGTCGTGCTAAACTTGATAATTTTCCACCCTGTCACGAGTGTTGTTATCTAATTATCTTTACGCTATATAAGTTTTAGTCTTTTCAGCTTGAGCCATTCCCTGTATAATCCTTGATGAGAAGGGACCGAAAACGTTCGGATACTTATGACAAGTGCCTTATTATGACTGGATGTGTGTTTGCGTGGATATTTGCGACCCATAACTTACCTTCGTTTTAAAGTATTATCCGCCTCCGACCTCTTTAAAAAAATATTATTATTATTATTATTTTATCACATGGCACGTGATTGTTGGCCGTACTCCAGCGAATCAGCACCTTTCGCGCCGCGGGCAATAATATGCGATATTGCCCGCAAAAAAAATAGTTTATTTGCCCGCAAAAAAATAGTTTATTCCAGTGATCGCGTGACTACGACGACTAGACTCTGTAGACCATGGTAGACTAGTCGACTGTACGACGAGTCGCAGTGCTAGTGTAGCATTGAGACGAAGATGGAATTCTTTTTGGAGATGGACATCCCGGCAATGGACATGGCCTCGGACGTCTGCCGTGTGGTGCTTGCAGGGATCATTTGTTCAGTCATGTTGGCAGCCTGACCGTCGGTAAGCTTGTGGATAAGATTCAGTTCTGCTCGAAGTGGTACTGTGATCACAAACAATTATTTGAAATAACACAAATTCAACTCAGCGTCGTGCGTTTTCAAATCCTCGCAAAGTCACTGCCTGTGTGTGGTCTTCATGTGCCACGCAAAACTCTTACCAGGCTCATCTGTCCTCTGCCTTCACCTTTGCTTGAACAACAAACACAACAATTCAGGAATGTTTTGCAATGAAAAATACAGCTATCTGGAGCTGAAAAAAAGAAGAAAAATTGTCCTCAGAATTACACACCAGGGAGTCGTCAAATACTTGCACTTGTTGCAGTACTGTATTTGACAACTTCCTGATACACATGTAAACATGAAGAAGCTCTTTGTGGTAGCACTCTTAATTTTTCAACTGAAATTATAATTCTGCTGTATTTTATTGTCGTTGCCATGTCTATTGCTATGACGATGCGGTGCCGGCACTTTTTTTCTGTCTCCGTCTTTCAGTACTGTATACTCTCTGATGGCCTGTAGCAGACTTTTTGTTAGGGTGTAGGAGAAATATCTTCATTTTTCCTGTTTTGATAATGATAGCACATCAATATACATTGTGGTCATAATGTGTTGGCATTTGGGCTAATTTCAACAGCAGCCCAATGGTCTGCTCTGTGGGCCATGTGATAAATTTGTTATCGCATGGTTGCTGCGGGCCTTATGGCATATTATTGCCCCTCGAGGTTAGCCCTCGGGGCAATAATATGGCATAAGGCCCTTGCAACCATGCGATAACATATACTTATTTATTTTACTAGGGTGTTTCCCACAGACCTATGGTCTCTCTTCATGTTCCGAACTGCTATTCTATGGAACTGTTTACCCCCCAGTCTAACATCGGAAGCCTCGCTATATAAGTTCAAAGCCGCCCTCAGGAAATTTACAGCTGACTATGCTATGCAATCAACGGAATTCCGCCACCTTGCAGTTGATTTTCCCCATTTCTCTCCTCATCAATCCCTGCTTGTCTTTGTACATACATCTACATCTACTGTTCTTTCAATCAAATGAACCCCTCGATAGGCACATTGCCTTTGGGTCATTTCATAATAATAATAATAATAATTTGGAAAGGATTGGGAGAACTTCATATTCAAAGGATCAGTCGGGGAAGTGAACTGCCTGAAAAGAGAAAAAAACGCCAGACCCACCAGGACTCGAACCTGGGACCCTGCTTGTCATGAGCAATGCACTAACCACTGAGCTATGGGACCAGGCTGAACCTAGAAGGCGCTGACAAGTTTTTCACTCCAAAGGCAGCTCACAACACGTGCCACACATACTGATGGCACTTGGGTCTTTTTCCCTCCCCCAGGGGACCAACCACGGTCAGTTTCTGGAAACTACCAGAGGTGAAAGAAAGTGATTAAATTTGGAAAGGATTGGGAGAACTTCATATTCAAAGGATCAGTCGGGGAAGTGAACTGCCTGAAAAGAGAAAAAAACGCCAGACCCACCAGGACTCGAACCTGGGACCCTGCTTGTCATGAGCAATGCACTAACCACTGAGCTATGGGACCAGGCTGAACCTAGAAGGCGCTGACAAGCTCAGTGGTTAGTGCATTGCTCATGACAAGCAGGGTCCCAGGTTCGAGTCCTGGTGGGTCTGGCGTTTTTTTCTCTTTTCAGGCAGTTCACTTCCCCGACTGATCCTTTGAATATGAAGTTCTCCCAATCCTTTCCAAATTTAATCACTTTCTTTCACCTCTGGTAGTTTCCAGAAACTGACCGTGGTTGGTCCCCTGGGGGAGGGAAAAAGACCCAAGTGCCATCAGTATGTGTGGCACGTGTTGTGAGCTGCCTTTGGAGTGAAAAACTTGTCAGCGCCTTCTAGGTTCAGCCTGGTCCACACTAAAATACCTTCCGACGCCCCTGACCGAACATCATTCACACTACTGGAATTCCGGAAGCCAAACTAATTCTGGGCGAAGTCCAATCAAGGTACAGTACTAGGCGCAAATAAACAAAAAAGCATGTTATGCACACGGGGTACACGAGTGGGAGATTATCGCAGAGGTGCTCGGTAGGGTTAACTTTGAAGAAGTAGGAAATACAAGGCAATGCAAGACATAAGGTCGTGCATTAGTTAAAAGCAGGAAATGATGTCAAACAGGACAATGCGTCGAACGCGATAGTGTGGTGTCGCCGCAGGTAAACAAGACACGTGCCTCGTGTCAACAGAACAGAATAGGGTGTTCTTAAACAGACACAAATGCCGTGCACACAAAATAAGTGAATACATGGAAGTGCAAGCTTCGCCAGTTATGGAGCTAACCAGATCTTTAAAAAAAACAGCAGCACTATTGTTTGAAATTGTAGTAGAGAGATTTTCCGGCTGATAGTAGCCAGTAAGGAGCAAGTAAAATGCAAACAATTAAGGAAAACGGAAAAAAAGAATAGAATTTAATTCCTACATTATGGGGGAACAGCTTGCAGGCATGAAACAGACCTGGGCTGTGCGCATCTACTTTTTGTACTCCATTGACAGCCAAACAGTTATCATTGGTAACTAAAAGTCAAACAGGCCTGGCCATTTAGATTCCTTGTGGGAAACTTGGCAAAATGACCGTGATGCAGGATTTTAAAAGGATGTTGGAGGGTGGAAACGAAGAAAGAACCGAGCATGAATTAGACCTTCCGAATGACCGCTGCAGGAAAAAGATAAATGAGGTAAAGGAGAGACCACAGCACGTTAGAGACGTTTTTGAAGAACGAAAATGGGCACGAGTATTCGCAACGGGTTTCGCGAAGGTGCGCGTGGATATTCGCACAGACTTTTTCATGGTTCTCGCACGCCCAATTGCATGTACGTAGTGAACCCGTTGCTTTGATCTCGCGTCCAAAGTTTGTACGAATATTCGTGTTGCAGAACCTCTCTATCATTTACCAAATTGGCTGGAAATGAACTTGGTGAAGGAAACAGTCCTTTCTTTTGGCCAAGGGTGCATCATCGGCAAGGACGAAATGCGAAGCTGCACAGCTGCACACATTGGTTTATGCACTCTTGCCCATAGAAACATTTGCTGTGAGCTATTGCAAGGTTGCCGGGGCGGAACCTATTTTGCCATGGGATACGACTTTTATGCCGCATTTCCCTGTATGATGGCGTGCGTCTAGTTCTAGGTCGCTGATCAACAGCACTTGTACTACAGCACTACAGCTCTACTCAGCTACATTGATTGTGTCTGCATGCATCTGTGTGTATGTATGTTTGTATGTGTGTGTGTGTGTGTGTGTGTGTGTGTTTGTGTGTGTGTGTGCGCGCGCGTGTTTGCATGTGTGTACACATTTGCGTGTGTGTACAGTTTATGGTTTACATATGTGCAGATGCTTGTATGTATGTGTGTGTATATGTGCGTGCGTGCGTGTGTGTACACCCACATACTGGGCATCAAGTTAACAAGATCAGAAAACACCCATTCAAGCTGATGCATTCCACTTACAAGTGCAGATGACAACGCCTGCCCTTGGCGTGGGCTTGGTGAGCGAGTTGGTAGTGGATTGTGGGCCATACTTGAAGGTATGGTATTCACCGTGCGATGGGCCAGGCAACTTGTGGTCGTGCACAAACACTGGAACGCCGACGTCGATCGCCTTGAAGAGCTTGTTGACGGCGTTGGAGACGGAGGGAAACTTGGTGTACTCCTCCATTCGGAACGGGTCCGAGTGGGCATGGTGTGGGCCGGATCTGCACTTGGAGTTAGCGTAGTCTGCGTCGTCGTAGTTCACGTTCCTGTGGTCCAGTTCGTAGGCAACCGTGTACTCGACAGGTGCTTTGCCAGGCGTCCGCTTTACTACATCCACGGAAACATGTGTGTCTGCACAGAAGAGAAAAAAGAACATTGAACATGGAAATAAAATAATCGACTTGGAGATCACAGTTTTAATAAACTCGGATAGAGAGCCAAGGATTATTTATTTATGAAAAGTAAAAAAGACCAAGGAACTACAAGTTACATTATAATGTCCACTAACTGTTATCCAGTTAGTTGTAGAACGTCAGTACCGTCGGTCAGTGCCGTGCAATGTTATCGCATGAGCTGATTGTTTAGTAACTGGTAGCGTTAGTGGACATTATAGCGTAACTTGTAGTTTCTTGGTCCTTTTAACTTTTTTTAATAGAGCTATTAATAATACCAACTGGGCACTCAGTACTCCGACACACAAGGCAAGATAGGTCCAGAGGTTTCCATGTAATAATTTAATACCGTGTGTCTGCACCTTTAAAGCCGTGGCCTCATATTCGAAACACCGCTGGTTTCCTAGCTTTTCTAGACGCAAAATGACTCACCCACAACGCTATGCCATAAAAGTCAAAGTCCACACAGAAATTTCATCAAATCTTCTTGTTCACCATTCCTGCTGGGCTGTAAGTTTGTTAATATAGTACTTTTTCCTTCATGTTTACAAAACATACTTCAAATGTCATTTCATTTATGAAGCTCATGGCTTTATAACTGAGACTGGCTTTATAATCGAATATACCTCCATGGCTTTAAAGGTGCGGCGGACCTACGGTATGTAGATATCTCATCTGGCAATGTGAGTGCTGATCAGCAGTAACAGTGCTCCATTCGTTTCAGGATAGACTACACCTTTGCAATCAGTGTCTGCTGTTGCTGGATGTCAAACCCACGGCCGGGCACAAGACACATACACAGTGCAACACTTCCGCTACCGTGCCTTAATCTGAGTCGGGTAGGTTCAAGTGTGGCGACTGAATGTAAAGTAAAGTAAAAGGAAAAGAAAGTTCTCACATTCACGTTTTTCAGGTCCCAGTCTGCTTTAGCTAATACTATAATTTCAGAATTTTCGTTGCTCAATATTTCGATTTGAGGGGAACAGGCCAGGTTAGGTGTTCAGAAATGTTCGGTACAGAGAAGCAGTTCCCTACTGGATTATGTACTGCGTTCCAACTTCTTTTCCTGTTCTTCGATATCGCTGAACGGCCCATTGTTTAAAAAATATTTTTGTATTTTCGAATTTTCAGCATCAGCAACAGTGCCTTCATCTTAACAACAACTTACCGTGGCATTTGTGGGTCTTGAGGGTTGTGGAGCGGCAGAGCTGTCCGTTCTTACACGGCTCGTATCCAAGAACAGACGATCGACATGAATCCAAGTCTGCGGGGCAAGGGTTTAAATCAAGAAAGTTCAGCCGTAAATAACCAAACCTGGCAAAAAAAGTAGACTCTCCGAATGTTTATCATCTACTGTAGTGGACATTGAAGTCCGGTGAAAAGTCTAGCAGCCACGGGGTCCTGGTCCTTTGTTACAGTATTCTCTAGAACTACACTGCTTGTCTCAAGGTTTGGAGACTCCGCTGTAGCCAACACTTGAATCCATACATCCCGTACACACACCTAGTACACACTCTCTCTAACGGTCTCTAGGCTACACTGCAATTGATATACAGTCGAATCTGTCGTAAGCGACCGCCCCTTGGTGCAAGAAAAAGCGGTCTCTTACGGCAGATGGTCTCTTACGGCAGATGTATGGTAAATCCGGCATACCGGGCATGCATATAATTATGCTTCCATGTACTCAAATCGACGAGAATAATGTGATTTTTGATATCATTTTATTGGATATTCAATAGAATATAGGGGCGCACTTGCAAGACAGCGCAGTTTCACACCTTGCAGTTGACAGCACACTGGCAAGTACAGTTTCGCACCTGACTGAACGTGGGGCGCGGTAGCTTACAGCAGATTTGAATGCAGCCACCATGCATGAAATCGCGGTCGCTGGTCGCGCACAGCAGATGGTTGCTCTGGACAGATCAATTTGTATGTGAAACCGTCTGTGCACGGAAAATCGGTCGCTAACGGTAGATGGTCGCCTACAGCAGAGGTCGCTAACGGCAGATTTGACTGTACGTTAGTTCAAGTTTTCGGGCAAGGCCCATCATCAGGAATAAGTACACTGCTTGTACGCGCGAAAATGAGCATGGTCATCCCATCAGACTTCAACGTCCGCGACAGTAGTTACAGTTGTGGAGAGATGCTCACAGCTCGTATCCATGCGCTTGTCCCTATGTCTAGTTTTAATGTGAGGAACTAGAAATTCGGCCAGGTTTTACAAAATTAGGACAGGTATGCCATGGCAAAATGTATGGAGAAGCAGATCCAAAACCCAGATTTTTGAGATTTAAAGTGGGGTTTTGATCCTCAAATCAGCCCAAATCCGACTTTCAAAAGCCAGCGGGACTGTTTCCGATGAATGGACTGTAGTTCTATTGTGAGGAACTCAGTCAGGTTTAACAAGATAAGGACAAGTGCACAATATCAAATTGCATGTCCAAGTCCTGGCTCCCTAGGAACAAGGTGAGTAATGTTATGTTATCTGTATGTTTACTTCACCATAGGTACTAGGTACAGGCAGTGCTGCCTTCTTGCTGTGGGTCATGAATGATGCCACAGCTCCTAGGCTATGTAAGTCTTGTCTACCTGCAGATGCTCAATTGACATGGACAATGTGTTTACCCTAGAGGACCAAAGAGAGTGAGTGATGCCGGTGCAACATAATTACTCACCCTGTCTAGTGCAAATGACTGCATGTTCACCGGTGCTGTCATCTTCATAGAGTACCGTGTCCTCGCTGGGAACGTACACCTCTTGATTATCGTAGATGCCGACCTTTGTGATCCAGAAGTTGTCTGCGCCCTTCCTCTCAATAGCCTTCAGGATTTGGTTGCGGAAACAGGAGTCGGTCCGGTTCAGGACGCGCATAGAGTTGAAGGTAAGCATGGTCTTTTTCTGCTGTCTGCACAGGGCATGGGCGCTGTCATAGGTGTGACGGGTGGCCGATATGAAGAACTCTTCGTCACCGCAGGTGTGCGTTAAAGTGGGAACGAACTTGCGGTGTGTCTGAGCTGCAAAAAAAGAGTTAAAAAAACAACGAAGAAATAGGTCTAAGAATATAAAAAAAGTCTGCAAGAAATAGCAGAGTCAGCAACTGTTCTCTTGAAATGACCTCAATGGCTGCGAAGCACGTCACCAGAACTCCCGGGGAATTGCAACATCTCCAGGCCGATTTCACTGATGTGATCCACAAAAATGCTCACCAAAAACCGTACGCCAAATCATTGCCGGCGAGAGCTGGCAAAGTTCGTCAGTGCCCATTTTTACACACTGCCTCAGCACATACATGTGTCTCGTGTTAGTTTGAGCGCTATGTGAGCGATGCACTTCGGCAGAATTTCAAGTTGGCGTCATTCGTATGATGCGATTCCAAATGCACGCGTATAATCAGACGTGTCCTGTACTTGCGGTGGACAAATCCTGACCTTATTCTCTACAAACTAGCTCAAGGAAACACACGTGATACGTTCGCATCCCGTACAAACGTGGGGATCACTCGGGCCAGCAGCATTGCATCACAAACAAGGTGTCAACTTGAAAAAATGTTGGAACAGCAGGGCATGCGGAATATAAAAAAACTCTTGGGGGGCTGTATGTATGAAGCCATGGTTACGGACTGTGGTCGGTCCCACCCTGCCCGGAATATACTACTGCCACACGGTAAAGTAAGCCTGAACAAGTCGCAGGCCACGTGGGCCAAATTCTGTTTTCGTGCGCAATAAATGTCAGCCTTCGCAGTTCCTGCCGGTATGCACAGCCATACGACAGGCAGTCATACGGTGTCATGCAAATTGAAGTTTAGCCGTAGGCAATTTCAGATTTCAGGGTGTAAAGCTCAAAATACCCGAGATTCGACATGCGCCAAACATTTGCTCATGTACAGTCTGGAAGACGATTCATGTTGCGCATGCTTCCCTAGGTGCAGCTCATGTTTGGCATTTTAAGTGGTCTTTGTAAAAAGAAAAGAAAAAAAGACTTACTGGTGCAAACAACCAGGCCTGTTGTGGCAGCATGATTGACAGCGCTAGTCCAGTGGTTGCTGTTTTTGTGGTACGTGAACGTGCGGAAATGGCGAGTAGAATTATTTTGGACATAAATGGTGAGCTGGGCGGCATCACCTAGCAGAAGAAGCCGGTCCACGGCTTTACGAATTCTGGGAACGCTCTCGTAAATGCCCATGTTGAACGGTCCGGCGTAATCGAAACCGTGCGTCCGCCGGCAGCTCCTCTCCGCGTTCACCTTGGTGTCCGAGTGGAACCAGCCGTGGGTGACATTGAACCAGACTTCCGCTGTGCGCTTCTCGCCGCCAACAGTGGTCACGTATTCCTCTCGTACCGTGGTTCCTGTCCGATAGATTCACCACAGAACAGTACAGGAGTGTAGACATTAGTATACACAGGTCATCTGATCACAACATACTCTGTAAAAGTCCATGTAATGTGAAAATTATGGTGGTCTGGGGAATTTCGGCAAACTGCAAAGATCGGTTTACAGTTGAAACTTGGCATAGAAAAGCTGCTGTTCAAATAAATGAAAACGAGAGAGCTTGGAAGCTCAGGGCCCTGCGCTATGTTTTGTTGCCTAGCTCCTCGTGCATGTTGTTAGAACTGATGGAAATGCTTTTCCTTTGATAAGCTAAATCATTGTATTGCAAAAACGTTTCAATGAGATACTGAAGTAACGTCTTCTGCATAGCTATGGGACCGGCGCTGACTCTGCCGATCACGGGCGTTCTGGAGTCGACGGGATGTCTGTCCTGACGTTTCCTGGGACCGGCGCTGACTCTGCCGATCACGGGAGTTTATCTTCTTCTTATTATTATACTGACGGCAACTAACATCCATTCTGATTGCATTTACTCGTCTCCCTACTTCGTATTTCTATCCAGAAAATCTCCCCATACAGCAGGGAGTCGTTTACATAATATGACTCCCTGCTATACATCTACATGACTGTATAAACGTTATACTTATTATGCTATCCGCCTACATGCGATTCCCGGGCTGGTCGACAGGCGGCCCAGCCAGCCTGCTAGTGGGATCTCGGCCTCGCACACAAATCCACACAAAATGTTACTGCACTGAATGCATTCCCCCGATACACTTCGCATATATACTCATTCTCTTGTTGGTACCGTACTCTTGATGGTACGGGACAGGTACGGGATAGCGCCAGGCATGTCGATGGCACAAACAAACAAAAATATTGTGGCCAGCTGTCTTTGCTGGTACGGTACAGTACGGGACAGATACGGGATAGCGCCAGGCGTGACACAAACAAACAAACACACAAACACACAAATACCAAATTAAAGCTGTGTGGACCCTGGCTAGCGCCAGACGTTACTGAAGTAACGTCTTCTGCATAGCTACGGGAATAAATTCTTACTTGCATAACACACCATCTCTCACATCGCTAGGCATCCCCACACAGAGTATCATCTGCCATTTCAATTTGATTTCCCCCTGCACCCAAGCCTGCTATCAAACACACACACACACACACACACACACACACACACACACACACACACACACTACTACTACTAATATGATACAGCTACCCTAAACGGGTCACGCCGCCCTCCACCCAAGCATGAGCACTATGAGGGGCAGTGGCAAATAAAATTAATAGAATCAGCTAGCAGAACTGGCAAAACAGAAGAAACAATGAAGCAGAACGGACGACTGCTGTACTGTAACAACAACCTGACAGCTACAGCGCCAACGACTGAAAAATGAACAGGAAGGAAAAAAAATTCAAAATTTCACGTCACGAAAAAAACACTGTCCACGAAAGAATCCACCAAGCAAAAGGAGTGTGGGCATCCGAAATCCCACCAGGACTCCACTAGCAGTTCTTCCACGTTGACGATGTAAGCGGCAGGGCAGCAAGGCCTCACAAATCCGACAGACTTCCACAACGCTTGACCAGTGCACTCATGACGACGAAAGATTGAAGTTTCAATTCCCACCATTCCGCCATTGGGACCTTCCTCTCCGCACTCGCTCGTCCACTCCACTGAAAACAACGAGTTGTTCCAGCACTCCACCAGCCAATCCGCAATTCCCACCACTGCATTCTTCGAGCTTGGATTCTTCACAGCACTCGAGGGACAGCTACTCCACTGCGAGTGGTGGACCACGGCCGACGCAGCAGTGACAATATCAAAGTAAATTGTCCTGCAAGCTACATCGCGACTCCGCGCTCCAATCATGCAGCACTACCTTGGCAGTGTGCGAGGGTGCTCCAGGGTCGACTCTGGCTACGCCAGAGTCGCCCCGGGCAGGCAGAAAACTTGGGAGAAAGCCAAGAACACGGAGCTCAGAAAGCACACACACACACACACACACACACACACACACACACACACACACACACACACACACACACACACACACACACACACACACACACACACACACACACACACACACACACACACACACACACACACACACACACACACACACACACACACACACACACACACACACACACACACACTACTACTACTACTATGTACAACTGCCACAAAATGGCCACGTCGCTCCCAGAAGCGGGAGACAACAGCGAGAAAAAAGAAACAAGGAGAATAATTGAGGTGAAAGGGGACCGTTCTACACATAGCTAGTGTTTCTGTCTACGGTGGCGGGTGAGGTCCTGCGGGCGGGAGAATCGTTCGTTACATAGGCTGCATTGAATGGGCAGATTAGTCCTCTGGTCCTTTCGCAGTCGTTTGCCTCGAGTACAATTATGGCGGTTAAAACCAGCCTGACTCTTCATGCAGCGATCACAGATCGAGCAATGGTGCTGGCAGCAGTCCAAGTTCAGGCTGCATCTCGTTGAAACAGCTGGTATTTCGTCCGATGTCTGACGCTCCACACAACGATGAACTGCAAAACCGCCAGCGCTTTGAAACCAGCGGTCACAAACTCCACAGTGACGGGCCCCAGGCTGCTGGGCAACAGGTAAGGACCGTACAGCTGAGCACTTGTGACGGTGAATCCCACGAGCAGTGAATGATCGGTTGCAAACCTTGCAGGTGACTTTGTTGTTGTTACACTCCACGAGATCATCCGGAGTCTTTGCAATTGCCTCGCGCCATGCTGGGCGATCCTGAGCCAAAGTGAGCCAATTCACTATGCCACCGAAACGAAGATCACGTGCGACGAGGTCTTTCCATCGCAGTCGTGGCCCACAGGCTGGGCGTGGATCTGAGAAGAAGCTAAACAGTATCAGCTTCGGAAGCCGGTCATCTGGCATTCTGGCGACATGCCCAAGCCACTGCAGACGGCGGTGTCTGACGGTATCAGATGGCAGTGCCATATCACCCCAGCGTCTTCGCAGCTCCTGGTTGTTGACATGCTGCAGCTGTTGATCGAGCCGGGATACACCCAGAATGAACCTGAGGGAGCGGTGGTGGAAGTTGTTGATGGCAACCATGTCTCTCTTCAGCGGAGTCCAGCACTCACAGGCATAGAGCAATGTGGACAGAACGCAAACATCGTAAAGATGGCGCTTGGTGGCGATGGAAAGGTTTCGGTCAAGAAAGACACGGCGCATAAGGTCGAAAGCTGCCGCTGCCTTACCGAGTCTTCTGGCCACATCTGCAGATGAGCGGGTGTCAGCAGTTATCACAGAGCCAAGATACACAAAGGATTTGACACTTTCGATCTCCTCCGGACCAACAAAGAGCGGAAGGCGGTCAGCACATGATAAATTTGCACCAACGGCCATGAACTTGGTCTTCGCTGTACTCAGAGTCAAGCCGAAGGAAGAAGCAACGTTGCTGAACAGCTCCAAAGCCAGTTGAGCTGACTCACGGGATGGTGCAAGTAGTGCTGCATCATCTGCAAACTCCAGGTCGTTGACCGATGTCGTGCCAGTTTGACGGGTTCGCTTGGGAAATAGATTGCCACTTCCATGGATTGAAGATACCAGGGACACACCGTTAACACCAGCTGCTGCTATAGCTGAACGCCATGCTTCCAGCACAAGACCAAAGTACAGGTTAAACAACAGTGGGGCCATAACGCACCCTTGCCGCAAACCATTCTCAACCGAGATGTTCCCAGACACATCACCATCAACCCGAACAGCAGCCTGCATGCCTGAATGGAAGCCGTCAATCAGCTGGATGAGTGACCCAGGCACACCATACACCTCAAGGGCCAGCAACAGTGCAGCGCGCGGTACCGAGTCGTACGCCTTGCGGAGATCGATGAAAACGAGAAAGGCCTTACAGCGGTGCTCGAATGCCTTCTCGACTACCTGTCGCACGCAAAAGATGGCATCTGTGCAGGATCGCCCGCGCCGAAAACCACATTGGCTTTCAGGGAGATGTGCCTCAGCAAGAGGTTGCAGCCGGTCCTGAATAACACGTGCGAGAAGCTTCCCGACGACGTCCAATAAGGCTATTCCCCTCCAGTTGTCACACTTGCTCAAGTCACCTTTTTTTGGAATAGGGACGAGCACAGCATCTTTCCACTCCTGAGGCACAGATGACGCTGACCAGCATGTGGAGAAGAGTGCATCCAGGTGTGGCCGAAGAACAGTAAAGCCGTGCTTCAACAGCTCCGCAACGATGAGAGACGAACCAGCCGACTTGCCGTTGGCCAGATGATGGAGAGCGCACTCAATATCCACAGCCGTTGGAGGGCATGCCAGGCTGTCGTCAACTTCCCGGCAGGACAACTGCTGGAAGACAGAGACATCGAACACACTAATGACATTGAGAACACGGGTGAAATGTTGCTGCCAGCAAACACGCTCTTCCTCCGCTGACACACACAGGGTTCCATCAGATTTGCGAATGGAATGAGAGGCCACAGGTTTCATACCATTGTAGCAGCGCTGGATGTCCCGGATGGCTGACCAGACGCGCTCCCCACTGAACTTGCCAGACTGTGCCATATCCGCCTTTCTTTGCAACCAGACACGCTTTGCCGTTCGAACTGCAGTACGCGCTGCACTACGGGCCTTGCGGAAAGCCGAAAGGTCAGCGGGATCAGCAGACTGAAGCCACTGGGCATAGGCACGGTTTCGATGTTGCAGCTTGGGTTCAAGGATTGTTGCGCTGTCTGCAAACCAGTCAGGCTGACGTCGAGATTTCCGTGTAGGGATGGAAGCTTCGGCAGCATCTACAATCGCCCACTTGATAGGCTGCCAGGTGTCTTCATGGGTGACGTGACACGATTTCAGCCGATCACCAAGAGCACTTCGGTACACTGCCCTGTTGCACTCAACAACTTCCCGCTCCTCCTCACTCATACCCGTACACGTCTTCAATTTGCTTACATCGAACATGCTACGTTTCCCAGGGTTTCGCGGTGGCAGGCGCTGGCGGTGGACTGGTGCCGGAAGGCGATAGGTCAGACACACCAATCTGTGATCAGTGCTACACTCTGCACGGCGAACAACATGACAGTCCATGCAGTTGGTACGATCCGCTCGCCTAGTGAAGACAAAGTCGATACAGTGCCATGCCTGCGAGCGTGGGTGTTGCCATGTGTGCAGTTCTGCGTCCCGCTTCTTGAACCAGGTGTTACAGATTTGCAGACCATGCAGAGCCAAGAACAAGAGTAAACGTTCACCAGACTCATTCATAGCTCCAGTACCAAAAGGACCGCGAACTCTGTGCCACTCGTCATCACGCTGCCCTGAACCAACTCGAGCATTGAAGTCTCCGAGTACGATGAGTTTATCAGAGACCGGAATTGACAGAAGCACGTGTTCAAGCGAATTGAAAAATTTGAATTTTTCATCACGACTACTGCGGAAAGTGGGAGCGTAGCAAACAAGAACATGAACCCACTGCGACTTGCCAGACTCCAGAGCAAACTGCAACTTTACGACCATCACACGAGAAGACACAGCTGTCCACTGCCGGCCGCCTGCTGCAAACGCCAGCGCTGAGCGGCCCCGCATCACGAGCGCGACTCCCTCGCCACGAGCGAAATTTTCCACGGGTGTCGGTCGACCAGAAGCAACAACAACAGCATCCTCAACATTGTATACATTGTTGCCAAACCACTTCGTCTCTTGGAGTCCAAGGGTCTCGATACCAAGTCGTCGAGCTTCGCGAACGACGATGTTGATCTTCCTATCTTCCACGATGCAATTCACTTGCTTTGAATTTTTCAAATTCAAATTTCGAGTTGTCGCCGTCTCAACTGGGCCATCACAATTCACCAGACTGCGGACATTCCACGAGCCAAATTTTACACACACACACACACACACACACACACACACACACACACACACACACTGTTGCTGCATGACAGCACTGACTCGCGGCACCTTTTTTGTTTGTGCTTCGCCCGATTGGGCACCCACTGTGTCACCTCCGTAAAGAGGACGATACAACACTTTACCATACATGTCCGACTCACTTTGCACACTATTTTTCCTGTAATCACACAACTCCCGAGAACAGGGACAGATCAATAAAGAACACCTTCTAACCAACAAGAGAATTAGGAGCTTGTGTCTATGACGAGGGTTGTGCCACGGGGCACTAGGATCTCACGAAAACACTCACTTTTGGGTTGATGTTTGACAATCCCTGTGAGGAAAAAAAGAAGAATAAGAAAGGCAATATTTGATTACTGTATAAGCAGAACATTTCGTTGGTCAATAATTTCGTCCAACTCCAAAGAAAGGGAGTTCGTACGGTTGTAAATTTCGTCCATGGATCATTAGAGTGTATTGAAAAACTGGACAAATCAATATTAGTCCGGCATTTAAGTCAGTCCAACAGCTCGTTGGACGAAAAAGACGAAATTAAATTCCAGACGAATATTTCTACAGTATAACATTAGCTGGAAAATGGATTTGTTTTATACACAGGGGAACAGGGCAACAATGTTGCACATTCTCAAGATGACAAGAATCCGCCGCAGCCATCCTTACATCATCACTGGAATCAATTAATAGAGCGTTTTCAAGGACGCCGCTCCCATCACCGCACAGCGGCGCTACAGAAGCTTGTTCTTTTTCGCCCAAACCATGGAAGGGCTTCCCGGTAACTGCTTTGACTCAACACGAGTCACATCAAAGTGAATGTGAACTGGGCTTTGCCTGTTCACCGGTGATTAAACAAATTCTCACACATGACCCCAAAAAGTGACCATTGGTACAACCTTGAAAAAACTTTATTATAAACAACATTTTGATGCCTAATATATTTATGTGATTGCTGCATGTGTGTGTGTGTGTGTGTGTGTGTGTGTGTGTGTGTGTGTGTGTGTTTGTGTGTGTGTGTGCGTGTGCGTGTGTATGGTGCAGTGGTATGTGCAGCGATTTACGATCGATAGGTTGCGGGTTCGATTCCCGACGATCATGGTCACACACATCTTTCTTCGCTTTCTCAGACTCCTCCTGACTTTTCTTTCATTCTCCTGGGTGGTTACCAACCTCTTGACCTCTTGACGCCCATCGCCAGAGGCGATGATAGCAATGCTACGGCAGAAGCCATAGCAACTTGTGCTGGGACTGCGCCATTCAACAGCTTGCAAGGCTGAAGAATAAACCGTCACTATTCAGCCTGTCCTACACCATACAGCTATTTGACATGACTTTTTCTGGCCAGTGAATCCCTATTATTAGGTCTTTATTTTTTGGTCTTTTTTCTTTTCTTTTTTCCCGCACACACATCACACCACATACTCCGGCATGCACTGGCTGTTGGTAACCACCCAGGAGAATGAAAGAAAAGTCAGGAAGAGTCTGAGAAAGAGAAGAAAGACGTGTGTGACCATAATCGTCGGGAATCGAATCCGCAACCTATCGATTGGAAATCGCTGCACATACCACTGCACCATATGGGATACACATGGGACAAACACCATTGGACCATTGGACGCCCATCGCCGGAGGCGATGATAGCGATGCTACAGCAGAAGCCATAGCAGCTTGTGCTGGGATTGCACTATTCAACAGATTGCAAGGCTGAAGAATTGACCGCCACTATTCAGCCTGGTCTACACCACACAGGTATGATGTGGCTTTTTCTGGCCAGTGAATCCCTACTTGTTGGTCTTTTTTCATTTCTTTTCCCGCACACACATCACACCACATACTCTGGCATGCACTGGCTGTTGGTAACCACCCAGGAGAATGAAAGAAAAGTCAGGAGGAGTCTGAGAAAGAGAAGAAAGATGTGTGTGACCATAATCATTGGGAATCGAGCCCACAACCTATCGGTTGGAAATCGCTGCACATACCACTGCACCATATGGGACACACACACACACGCCAGGGACTAATTTAACCGGTATCGCATCGCAGTTTGCGACGCAAAACACAGTGTCTGCGATTCGAAGTTCGTAGTGAGTCGCGGTAAACTGCGACACAACATACATGTTAGCCAAGTATGGCCCTGGACATAGATTTGTAGTGCATGCGTAGCGCATGCACATGTGTAGCTTTACAGTGTGTGTGGCTGGTTTGGCACCAGGAGATGGCGCGCCATGCACTGTGACTAGATTAGACTGTGTGTGTGTGGTTGTCCAGCCTGCACTGCAGCACTGCAGGTAGATTTTACACCATAGACCCGGGTGCTCGAATGAGAGACGGGGTACCAAAACAGAAACAGCCTGAAATTGTACCTAAATTTGTTCCGATTTCGTTTAATTTTCAGAAATACCATCAACATACGGCCCGCTAACGGTATGCCAAATTTCAGCCCTGCCCGGTAAACGGTTTTTGAAATACTCGCGACCCACTTTTTGCTGGGTCCTTGATTCGAGGATGTGGGTCTCGTGTACGGTGCTGCCAAAGACCTGCTGAATCTGCGGCTCCACTGACAATCTTGCTCTCAAAAACGAAGTAGTAAGTAACTACTCCCTGCCCTTAACTGCCATACCAAGCGTAGACGATGGTAGACCCGTGTGCTTGAATCGGAGACGATCTGACGAGTTTGCTGTTTCTGATTCGAGCACCCAATTTTCAAATAAAAAATCCGAAGGAAATACGACAATTTTACTGCGTACTGTAGGCTGTGTTGTAGCGCACCCAGGTTCTGAATTCCTGCTGGGTGGGTCAAGCCAGACTCCCTTCCCTGTTCCATCGCCTCTCCAAAAGTATATTCTGACATTGTTGAGATTTACAGATGAGAAATTTCACACCTGTCAAATCGTTTCTGATTCGAGCACCCGGGTCTACGCACGCGCGGGCTGCGGGACCATGGCCATATGTCACACTATCTCCGCACGCGCACCGCAGCACGTGCACTTGGAAACTAACTAACTTACTTACTCGAAGTGCAGCCCAGGAAGCACGAGGCGAGTGTCGACAAGTACTTCACCTGCTTTTGAGATTTAGACCGCGTTGCTTCACTAGCAGTAGGCGTCTCGACCGTTCAGGACTTATCGTTGTAAAATTCTGCTAGCCTAATTGAGGAAGCCTCTTCACTGCCGGCATGTCTGTGAAACAAGGTACTGTGGACAAGTGGATTGCTGAATTTGATCCCAAAAAAGAATGGATTCGCGCAGAGTCGAGTGGTGGAGCTGTGACCAAGATATTTTGCAAGATGTGCCAGGAGAAGGCGTCCTCGCTTCGTGGTTTGAGGAATTACAGCACGGCGTTCGTTGACGGTATAAGTGGAAGTGCACTGAAGACTGCATTGTCGACGAAAAAAAACTGCTATGCAAAATTGTTGCGTTGCTATGCAAACGTCGGGGTGTGTAGCAATTATTGCTATGCATTTTTTGGAAGTAAATTAGTCCCTGCACGCGCACGCACGCACGCACGCACGCACGCACGCACACACGCACACACACACACACACACACTTACAAGTGCAGATGGAAACGCCGGTCCTTGGCACGGGGCTGCTGAGCGAGTTGGTCGGGTGTCGGGCCAAATAGAAGGTCCGGAACTCTCCATGTTGTACACCGCTCGCTCCGTCGGAACCTTGCAATAACAATGATTGGGTGTCCATGCTGCGTACATACACTGGGATAGTGGCAGCCATTCTTCTGAGGAGTGTGTTCACAGTGTTGAAGACGGCCGGCGTATTGGTGTACTCTTCCATCCGGAACGGATCGGAGTGGGCATCTTTGTTGCCTTTCTTGCACTTTGCGAATGCATGCTTTGCATCGGTGTAGCTGATGTCGCCACCGGCCAATTCGTAGCCAATCTTGTATTTCACGAGACCTCCTCCATGCTCGGGCTTGACTACGTCCACGGTGGCACTTGTATCTGCACGAAAACGATAATAACATTTTAATGGTAGGCATCTCAATAGTGCCATTATGAGGACTACTCACTATCAGAAGATGGCCATGTCTGTAAAGACCGACAGCCGGTATGGAGCACGGTATGACATGAACAACTGGTGGTCGTCATGGCGAATTCCTAGCTAACACCATTCATAATTTTAATTTTATTTTATTTCACCGTCCAATGGCAGAAGCCAATGAAAAGGAGGGGGCGTTAGCCAGCCATGGCAAGAGAAGAAAAAAGAAGGAAAGAATATTATAATAATGGCAAGAGAAGAAAAGAGAAGGAAAGAAGATGATAATCGGAAGAAACGAATGCATCAGCGGGGTGAAATTTATCGCTATGTTGACCATGGTGGAGAGCGGCGAGATAAGCTAGCAAAAGAGGCGAGCGAGCCTACAACGTGGCATGACATTTAACATGGTCTATGAACTGTCTAATATTGGATATTGTCTTCATTTCCATGAGCAGCTTGAGCCAATACAAATATGGAGAACAGATAGGAGATTTGGTAAACATAGTTGACAAAGCTCTGGGAAGTACTATGCCATTGCGAGTGTCCCGTGCGAAAGCAAACCAATTATACTTGCTGAGATGTTCAGGGACAATGTTCAGTTTAATACGATGGACCAGAACGCATGACTGTCTCTGCGACAGGATAAAGATGGGGCTGGTGGAGGTCAAACTACATGTATATAGATAAGCGGAGGGGAATAGAGAGGGTTTACGAAAAATAATTTTCAACACACGTTTATGATGTATTTCTAGTGCCTACCGTATTTTCCGGAGTATAGTGCGCACTTTAGATGTGCTATTTTAGGCCCTAAATCGCAGGTGCGCACTATGCTCCGAATATGAAATGCATGTACTTCAATGAAGATTGAAGTGCGCACCCCCAATGAAGATTGGGGGTGCGCGTTGTACAAAGGTGCGCACTACACTCCGGAAAATACGGTATAAAGCAGATTTACTAAGCAGGGAATGCCAAGCAGCGGCGCCGTACAGTAAGATAGGAAGAAGGTAGCATTTATAAAAGAGACGAATACATTCGGGGGACAAGTGGGAGCAGTGAGACATCAGGCAACGTACAGATTTGCTAACTTTGTTGCATACAAAATATACTTGAGAATTCCAGGACAATTGCGAGTCAAATACAACACCCAAATGCCTGTGCGTATCTACAATATTAATAGCCGAATCAAGTCTGGGAAGGGTAAATGTGAGAGGGTTGGCTAGTTGAGGGTGACTAAAGACTATTTCTGTCTTCAAGATATTGGGTTTCAGACGCCATGACAACATCCATTTATGAACAACATTGATTCCATTCTGAAGCTTCGTACACAGGTTTGCAATGTCAGCGTCAAACTGAATGAGGGCTGTGTCATCAGCAAATAGTGACAAACCATCTATACAGTCAGGTAGCAGAATGGCTTAGGAAAATGGCGTTGCGCATGCAAATAAGCTTTTGTGGAACAGAACTGCTTGCCCAAGAAAATGCTGACAGACTGCCTTTCACATAGTATCGACAGTAAATCATAGGAGACAACGATTTAATAGCCGCAATCAATAATAACACAAGCTGAATCGACATTAACAATGTCGATTCAGCTTGTGCTATTACTGATTGTGGATAGTATACCATAGATCTGCATTTTCATTCACTGTAGGTAGGCAGCACCAACAGTACCGTCAACACCAGCATCACAAGCACCAACATCAGCAGCTGCATCACCAACATCAGCAGCAGACCCAGCAGCACAAGCACCACCACCAGCACCAGCACCAGCACTAGCACTAGCCCTAACACCAACACCATCACCAGCATCACCAGCATCACAAGCACAAGCATACGCACAAGAAAACTCACCGTGGCACCTGTAGGCGGTAAGGTTTAACGAACGACAAATCCTGTGGCTACCACAAGGACTGAATCCATCGTCAGATCCACACGGGTCCATGTCTGTACAGCAGAGTTTCAACAAAGAATGTTAGGACGTGAAAAACATCAGCAGTCGACCAGGCCACAAAGTACTCTCGTACTCTTGGTCTGAACAGTATGCAATCTCCTGGCTGAATGGCCCGGAGGAGAGTGAGTTGTTGGAACACCACCAACAGATGTGTATCTCGCATGGGGCACGGGGGGGGGGGGGGGCTACGCATGTTGTACCCCCCAAACATTTAGACCAATGTCCAGCATGCACATAATGACCATGAATGATACGCACAAACCATCCTACACATATGCGGCCGTGCAACCCCCTGAAAGGGGGACCAGCTATGTCCCTGATCCACTACTCACTGGGTCGTGTGCAAATGACTGCATGCTTGCCGGACTTGTCTTGAAGGAGCGTGGCCCGTGTGGGCTCGTACACCTCATACTTGTTGTAGTCGCCGAACTTGGAAATCCAGAAGTCACCGTGCCCCTTAGCCTTGAGAGTTTTCACAATGTCCAGACTGAAGCAACCGTTGCCCTCCATCAGGGCACGCATCGAGTTGAAGGTGAGCATCACCTTGTGTTGTTTTTCGCACAGGTTCAAGGCACTATTGTAGCCGTAGTTGTCGGCTGAGACGAAGAACTGCTCGCCGTCACAGGTGTGTGTCGAATCGGAATACGAGGTGAGTACCTTAGCTGTAAAACAGATAGAACACAGCCGAGAAGAAAGTGTGCTGCCATCAGCAGAACTTGAGGTCCTGCTTGAAACGACCGTTATAAGTCGCACACGATTTTCCAGCTATGGACGGAAACATTATGCTCTTGAAATTCACATAGGAAAGACTGTCATGGCCAGATAGTCGGATACACCGTGTGCCATAGCAAAGTTATTCCCTTACACTGTGCAATCAGTCTCGACAGCAGTGTAAGTTTAGACAATGTAGTCCATCTCGAGGATACAGCAAAGGCTGTAACTAAAGACCACCAAGACTAGCGACCAGCCTGGTCCTACAGACCACATTGTCAGGCACGGACGGTCTCACATTCATAATAATGGTTGTGAGTTTTAAACCTCTAACTAAGGACCAGCTGCCACTAAAGACGGCTTTCTCTGGCCCCAAGGGGTGGTCATTAGTTACAAATTTTACTGTAAACACGTCCCGAAAATTGGTGCAAGGGAGGGGCAAGCTACCATAAGGGTATAATAATAATATTCGCGGGATCCGCGTCGGTATTGCTCGAATGTTCAGAAACACACAACTAGCCTTCGCATCAGCAGGCCACCACTATGAAGGGTATGATACCTCAAAAAGTCAAACCTCAACTATTATCAAAGGCATATTTTTCCGAATTTGGTTGATTCGCGGTATAGCCGACTTACTTGTGCAAACAACGAGACCTCTGGTGGCTTGAAGGTTGATGAGGTTAGTCCATCTGTCGGTTTTGTTGTGGTAGGTGAACGTGCGGTAATGGTTAGAAATCCGACCATGTTCGTCGAGCCCATTGACGTATATAATGAGCTTGTTCGTACCAGCTACTCGCAGGAGTTTGTCGACGGCTGCGCGAACTATCGGGTAGCTCTCGTAAATCTCCATGCTGAAAGGTCCGGAGTAATCGAAATGCTGCGACTCACGAGTGCAGTTATTGACTGCATGTTTCTCCGCGTCGAAGTACACCCAGCCGTTACATGCATGGACCTCGACATCTGCTGCGATCTTCTTGCCATTCTTGGTGATGTCAAATTCCTTGCGGACGGCGGTTTCTAAATTGGCAGAATCAAGACAAGGCAAGACGAGTATAGTCATTATTGGAAATAACATATTTTTTCCCAGAACCGGGAACATTCCATGCCTTCTTTCGTGCACATTCAAAGGAGTTGCTAGCGGGAATGTAGAAACAGAACAAGTAAATCATCATGCGCGGACCTGGACAATCACTCGAGTGCAAAATGTAAACTGACTTGTGAAAGCTGTGTACATTGAAAGCTGTGTACATTGGCATATTAGGTCGCACTTGGAGATACGTGCATTATTTTGTGGTCCACATGCGCACATCCATGTATATCGCACCGATATTTATTCTTGGAGGCCCCTTGATTTAGGATTATTATTATTTAAAAAATCCACAAACACATTAATTGACGTCAGGAGAGCGTCTCCAACTTACGTTCTTCGCAGGTAGGGCCAGTCCATCCCCAGTCGCAGATACACGTGTTGTCCTTGTCGTCTTCCACGATGCCGTTCCCGCAGTGCTCTGCAACGGAAAACAGGATGGGAGTGTGCGTGAACAGAGGCAAAGGGGAATCATTTAGCTAGGGGTCAAACGGGTGTACCTTTAACTAACGAACGGGTAATTTTCTTAACGGGCGGGTTAACGGGTACCCTTTAGCAGCCATATTATTTTTTGCGCATTTCTCACATAAATCATGATTTTAATTTGTATATTCTCAGGTTGTATTTTGATACTACATTATGATTCGCAATTGATTCGTGTATCATAATATTATTATGGCAATGAAGGTTCCAAATGAATGTCATCCATGCATTTGCCCATGTACATAACTTCACAGGCAGTAACTTACAATCGTACATGTAGATGGTCCTACAAGCTACAATGTCATGTATTTTGCTACATGTACGCAAATCAACTGCAGATCGATGTGACTCAAGCCATTCAAGAACAGAGTGGTTTAGCAAAACTTCCGTGATCTCGCGCAATCCTATTTGCTATGTTCGCAGAGAACTGGTACTCGTTGCATTCAGAAGATGTTCGCGCCCATAGCTAGCTGGGGTGCCTGACACAGCTGATGTGCTGCTGGCCAGCTAGCTGCTAGTGCTAGCTTGTTGAACTCGTGAAATGAATCTTCACAAATCCGTAATCTTGTATGCAATATTTCGAACTACTTTTCAGCTCGTCGATTGAAGGAACAAACTACAACCATGAGTATCATACATGTAGCTACCACCTACGGACATCACGGTTTGTGACACTCCGACTGGTCACTCAGCCTGGTGACACTAGTTCATCAAGTACTGTGGCAGGTTCGATGTCGGAGAACCATCGTAACTTTCTAGTTACTCAGCTGCCACCTCGAACGA